ATATATAGATTATGGATAACATAATATACATTCAAGCAAATATCATTTTGCAAGTAATGGTAAGCTTAACGAGGCACAGAAATAATGGAATATAATCAGAAACCCATTTAAGTTTTCAAAACTTTTCATAATTATAATAAAGTTTTCGCTTGAAAATGTTGCAGTATTCGACTTAAAGCCTCCACGCTTCTTCTTATTTTTATTTATTAATAACTTTCTTCTTCTTCTTTGTMTTGCAGGTAAGTTTGATTGATGCCTTGTTTCCTTTGAGTGTGACGTAAGTAAAGTGAACAGAACACCCACAAACGAAACGCAAATGGGTAATTTAGAGTAGGTCCAGAACGACTTATATATTTCTGATTAATAGTTACTTTTAGTTAGGGGCTCATAAAAGGCAGGTGGGCAAGGCAAAGGCGGGGCAACGGTTGGGTGTTCAATTAGGCAGCGCCCCGAGCCCGCATATGCGGCAAGTCCAAGTTTCCAAAATGAGTAATAGCAGTTAGATGAGGAGGAGTCTGGGGCGGGGGGCAGGGCGCAGTATTCTAATCAATGGCTGTGACACAGCTTGGCACATAAAATGCAGTCGAAAAACATCAACAACAAGAAAATGCATTAAATTTTCAATAAAAATGCGTCATAAAATAAATGTAGAAAATACATAACACACAAAAAAATGCACTGAGAAACAGATGAGACAGAGAGGGAGAGAGAGAGGGAGCTAGAGATAGGGTCGCAGCGTCGGATAAGAGTGAAACGTGTGGATAGCTGGAACATCTTTTTATGATGGCAGAGCAAAGTGTCGACAAAGTGCTTTGGCTCTTGGCTATTGAAGCAACGCGGGGCACGAAAAGTTCCAAGGGTCAAAATGCAGCAGCAGCAGCAGCAGCCACACGCATCAAATTGACACGCACATGTGAAATGTGAGAGTGTGCGTGTGTGTGTGTGGGCATCAAGCATGGGGTTAGGGGTTGGCAAAGTGAATGCCAACATATGTACACACACTAACAGACATCTACCCATACACACTCACAGATAGAGAGACGACTAATAATGCCATGGAGTAGTTGGTCGCTGGAATGCATGAAGAAGTGCAGTAAAAATAGCAAACAATGCGAGTCATCGGGAAATCAATAAAGAAAGTAATTTGAAACGTGGCAAGCAGCGCGACGTGGCCAGTTGAAGAAGAAGAAGAAGAAGCAGCAGTGGCAGCGGCAAGAGCAACTTATAGAAACGAGCTCCAGTGGGCAACGCTCTCAGCATTTTGTCCAGTTCATGTCCAGGCCAAAAGGCAATTTATCTAATGGTAATATTGTATGGGCCATAAAACAATATTGGCCAAAGGCGAGGCGAATCCATGAGCGAGCGCGAGAGGGGCGTGGCAAGGGTAACTATTTTTAGGCGAGCCAGCAGGCTATAGCTCTCGTTCTCGCTCTCGCTCTGAGCGCCTGTTGGTGCGACCGTTATGTAGGCTTTAGCAGTTCTAGACTTAGCCATTGCCCACATGTTTGGCCTTAATTAATGTGCATAAAATGTTGCAATAAAAACAAAGCACAGAGAGAGAGAGAGACTCATACACGCATAGACTTATTTATTAGATATGTTGAAAGATAGACGTAATAGAGAGAGAGAGAAAGAGAGAGAGCTACATAGATCTCTGAATATATATATAGATCTATAAATCAGACAGTTAATAGATCAACTGAGAAAGAAGCAGATGAAGTGAACGTGGAATAGACAATCATGCAGAGGATAAATGATAGATCGATAGCCTAAAATTCTAATATTGATATTGCTACAAACAGACTGAGATAAACAGGCTGACAAATAAACATATTAACACATTGATTTATAGATGCAGTTGTTCTATATACATACTTATATAAGATATTTAGAGGTGGATATGTACTGAAGTCAAATTTGATATACAGTAGATTCCGGTTATAGCGACTCCACTTATATAGTCCGTACGGTCATATTTATATGAGAAAACTTGAATGGCTATAGAGCTGAAGGGATCGTCGTTATATGCGGATTATACTGTATATTTATATACATACATATATAGATATATGTGCATATATATATACAAATTCCAATCTCTTTTCATTTTCGCTCTAAATTATCTATCTTCAATATCTTCACAAGTTGCTCAATCTAATCTTTGACTTTGTTTTACGTGCGACAACATTTTCGAATCTGATGAAAACTATTTGTTTTTCCTCGATTTTCACACACACACACAGCCATAGCTTACCATTTGATTATCGGATTAACATTAATTCGCTTTCAGCTTCACTGACGGCGTTGACAGCGTCATGTGAGAAAGGGGAGGCAGCATTTTCCTCGATGCTAAAGATTTTCTCGATGTTTGTTATTTGTCTTTTGCTTTGCGCTTCATTGCTGCACATGCTGTTCGTGTCGCTGTCATAGTTTTTCCAGCTTCTTTGGCTATTTGCTAAATTTAAATGGATCTGCCCTCCTCTCTCTCTCTCCCATTCCCTCTCATCATTGATTTGTCAGCACCTTAAGAAGGCACGCACGGCCAATAGAACGTGATTATCTTCGTGGATAGATCATTATGATCAATGTTGTCGCCGGCTTTGCTGACTTTTCTCTGCTGTTCCCGCCAGCCACTTGGCTTGCCCATATTTATCCAGCTGTTAATTTTCAATTTTCGAATCAAATTTTAACTATTCCTATAGATATATAAATAAATATATATATGCAACCATATGTGCATAGATCTCCGATCTGCCTGCTCTTAGTTTATTGACCTTCACGATGAAATCTGTGTGGAGCTGTAGGGGTACACCATGAACTCGCTCTCTCTCTCCCTCCTTTTGTTGTGTAAACAAAAGATTTTGTCTCGCTTCGGTTTAATGAAATTTGTTTTTAGCTGCCGTTTCGTTTCCTTTCCGATTAACATCTCGGGGAAAATTCTGTGTAAAATTGATCAATTGATTTTGTTGTTCAACATTTTTGTCATTATCCCTGGAAAGGGCAACGGCACAAAGGCAAAGGGAAAGGCAACGGGAAAAGCAAAGGCAAAATCAAAAGCAAAAGCAAACATAATCTCTGTCTTTCTCTTTTTTTTCCTTCCTGCTGTGTTTTACCTGCCGTGCGCTAAATTTTAAACATTTTCTCTGGCCTCCTTTGTACATATATAAATTGTAACTTCGTTGTGGCTGCAGCGGTAGAATTCTTTCAAATTGTTGTGGGCGTTTGAGGGGCGTGGCAGTATGGTATGCCGGGCATGTCGTCCCACAGCGCTCTTGAACGTTTTTTTTCCACCCAATTTGCACAGCGTTCTCTTTGGGAGTTAACGTTTGTTTGATATACCCATTGAAAATGAGAGTGCAGGGTATTATGTTACTGTTACAAATGTAGGTAGTAGACAGTTGTAGGTGTGGCATTGCAGTGAAAGTATATGTAATTTGGCTAGGCATTAATGATAGTGTTGATTTAGCCATTTCAGTCTACATTAATTCGAAATATTGAAATGTTTACTTTGGCTTTGAAGCTTTGAAGTTTCTAGGAAATAGAGCTGTAAAATTTGGTATATAGATTATAGGTATAAGTATTGGAACTAGGAACATATTCATTATTGGATATCTATCCACTCATATATCATAATATGGTTACTATTTTAATCTTTACCTCAATTCTTGATGATATCTTCCAGTCGCGCATTGCTTAGCCTAGAGCACTCACTCGCGCTGCTTTTTATTGTTTTTGTGTATTTCAATTCTGCGCTTTTTCTCACTTCAACTTGCATTTTGTTTCCCGTTCATTCTCTGGAGAACTTTTGACTCGGCAACTTTTTTGGCCTGCCAGCGCGCATTTCAATCAAAAATGTATATAGTATTTACTGTATATATATCTATATTATATATATATATCTGACCTGGCCTCGTTACACACACACACATACACACAGGCACAGATAACTTTTGGCCGTATAGGCGTGGCAGTTGCGGCTATTGTTTTGCAGCTGCCTTTTGCGACCGGGCAACAAAAACTCATCTTGAAAACTCATTAAACAAAGTACACACTTCAACGCCAAACGCCAAAGTCACTGTTGATGGCCTTCTCTCTCTCTCTCTCTCTCTCTCTCTCTCTCTGGCACCTGTCTCACTCATACACTCTATACTTATTACTGTTATAATGCCAGAAAGTTTGAGCTCTTGACTTGGCTTTGTTTTGTTTTCACACCAGTTTTCTTTTCTGCTTTTTTTTTTTCTCTTCCTGCTGCTGCTGCTTGTTTTGTTTATGCTCTAGCAAATATGTTTGAAATGAAATTTGCATAACTAAAAGTGCTTAACAAAGCACACATGCACACATATACATGCACATGCTAACATGCACACTAAGCTGCACTTGCGCGGCTTTAATTCTGTATCAAAAAAAGTGTAGCACGCTTTTCAGCGCCGGCGGGCGAGCGAGCGAGCTGCAGCTTCTTTGTTGCATGTGTTGGTTGTTTGTGCTTGTTCACTTAAAGTGATACCCTGTAGGTGCTGGCATACACAAAACTTTTCCACATAACTCACACATGCTGCCTGCGAGCCGCGCCCACTGTTGCTGCTGCTGCTGTTGCGGCTGCAGTCTGTTGTAGCTGGGCTTGCCTGTACCATTTCTCAATTACCTTTTGGCGAACTCCTAGCAATGCTTCTCTAACATTAAAGCAAATCGAAAAACTTTTGCCTCGCATTGTTGTTGCTCGCCACGCTCGGTCTTCGAATGGCGCCCTCATTCTTTGTAATTGCCACGCCCACTGGCACTGGTATTTTCTATCGCCTGTCGCTGATATAAAAAAATTATGCACATAAATTCAAGCGTTGCTTTTCCGTGCCCGTAAATTTCCTATTTTTCAGTTTTTCCCTATGCTTTTCTCTTATATTTTTGAGGTTTTTCCTTAGTTTTTCTTTTGTTTTTCCCTACTCTGTTTTGCTTACTCATTGCTTGGCATTTGTAACGCCTTCGTTGGCTCAGTCATGTTTTGTTCATCAACCTTCTATATATGTGTGTGATATATACAAATTTCATAACTTTTTGTATGCTAAAAAATTTGCTAAAATAATTTACCTCCGCTTTATAAAGCATTCTAAGCACATATCGGGCTTGGCTCTATGTTCATTATTAAGTTTTGTAAAATGGAAAATTATAATTTGTTTCTGACTGAGTAAAATATGAAAAAAGTATAGAAAAACATATATGTAGAGCATATAGAAAACATATATATATACTAAATGTTTTCTATGCATGCAAATTATGTAGAAA